CATTCCATATGTATCTTAATCCATCTTCTATAGACTTTCCAAGAAACTTAAAATAAAGGTGTTGGAATGTAGTATTGATCCAATTTTCTATGTCATTGATAAACCTTTCATAACTCATTGAATTGATACTCACTTGCACTAAATCCATGTTTCCCCTAACATATTCAAGTATTGGGCAACGGACAAACTTTTCCCTGTGGAAAAGGCAGACCCATGTCAATTTATCACTCATCTCGAATCTACACTAAAACACAACTTGTGATATAAATAGACACAGAATGGAGGAATAACACAATAACACATAAAAATAATTACATGCAATATCTTCCTTTGTAAATTTTTCATGTGAGATAAACTTGAAAGTTATCAAGAGTTAGTGCTAAAATTGCTACAAGTATGCTACCTCCATGAGAGAAGAATAATAGAAGTGCCAAAAGTTATATATGGCGCTCACTTTAGTGCCAAAATTTTTAAAAAAACGATCATTTAAGTGATAATTCCGATCTAAGTAGCCGGAAAATCCGATGTGTCATTATTTTATAATAAAAAGTCTGATGTGGCTTGCCGGAGAGAGTCACGTCATACTTAAATAATGTGATGGACTTTATTTTTGTCCACACCGGATATCAAATTTTTTTCGTTTTTCATTTTGTAGATAATTACAATTAAAGAAGAAGAAGAAAGCTGAAGGTGATGAGGTTCTGAAGAAGATGAGAAAGGCAATGAAGACATGGAAGCAAAGGTTGATGATGAAGAAGAATTTTTAAAAGCCAAACAATGTCTTCTCTCATTTATTTGGCCTAAATTAATGAATTTGGGATAAATTCGTTTTGTTTTTCAAACCTAATCCCTCAATCTTTCTCTCTCCCCCATCTTTGGTCACGCTGGTCTCTATCCTAATTTCCGTAGTGCTGCCATCATCGTCAACTCCCATTCTTGTGCTGCCGCCTCAGGCAAAGCCGAATCTAGGCTCCAACCTCCCGGATAAGGGCTCGCCCCCAATATCATCCCATCGATCCTTGACTCCCTAAAATTCTTGTAGAACACGTCGAGATCTTTCTCTTTGGACAAAATGACCCATGGAGGTTGAAGTCGCGGTGCCCAAACTCCGTGCGGACCAAAGGGTTTGCTTGTCTGGGTTAATCTGCAAGAGGGAATAGATTTGTCCTGGCGATTCAAGTAGCCGCGGATTTGGCTAATAACTTCGATCGAGTGCTCTCTGCTCGGGTTGTGTAGATTTGGATCCATTGAAGTGGAGGTGATGTTTGATTTGAGGGGTTTTGAAGTATGGGTGCAATTGATTTGATTTGTAGGAGGGTGTGGATGCCATTTAAGAGAAAAATCCAAAAACAAAAGACCACGAACTGTCATATTGCTGGTGCTTTACTCGAGCGCTAAAGTCTGCGCTATTGTCCCTCTTCTTTTCCCTCTTTGCTGATTGCCATGGCTTTTTGTGCTCATACGAATTGCCACTTCATCTATGAAATTTTAAACTTTTGATCAAGTCTTCATCTGGGTCATTATCATCCGCCTCTACCTTGGAAAGTTTCTGTTTATTAAATTTGGCAAGGAACTTTTCTATTTTTAATTTCACCAGCTCTGAACTTTTCTGTTTTGGATAAAACGATTTTGTCCAACTTTTTTGTTTTGAAAAATTGGAGAACATTTAAGGTGCATCAGTTGCTCGATTAAAAATTTCTTCAGCTGGGTTTTGAGTTTGAATGAATCATTCTGGGTATGAAAGAGAGAGAAGAAGAGAGCCAGTAAGTCTAAAGATAGAAAGATAGAGAGAGAGAAGATAAGTTTAACATGAGGGCATGTCATCTCTACGTTGACCTTCTTTTTTTCGAAGAAAAATCAAGTAAGAATTAAAATTTTATTAAAAATGCCACGACAAATAAACCGCCGGAATTTATTACCGAAGGCACTTAAGTGATCGTTTTTTCTCCGATTAACACTTAAGTGAGCTGGCGAAAATTTTTGGCACAAAAGTGAGTGTCGTACACAACTTTTGGCGCTCAAATGAGCGCCGTACACAACGTTATAATGCTAATAAAGTATATACCACCTATCTGATGTCTATTTAGACATATATTATTATAGCTATTGAAAATATCAGCAGGGCAAGAAAATGCTAAAATCCTTATTTACCCACCTACATGTGGGATTGATAATCGAAATTTGTTTCCTTTATCAATTATTATGACAAAGCATTTGCTCTTTTGCTGTTACTCTTATAGTTTAAAATGCTCAGCATAATGTGTTTTGATGGCTCGAAGTGAGAATATGCAAACTAGAATTTATTCAACTTGATTTACAATTCAATCACAATAGTTGAGACTTATGAATTTAAACTCCATGGCTTATGGCCCCGCATGATTCTTACATCATCTCAGTCATCGTGTAGTCTATCATACGTAACGGTGAGTGCAAAAAGACAAGAATTATTTCTCTTCCAAATAGAAATAACACGCGCGAAGGAAGTAAGGCAAATGGCTTATTTAGAATAAGACAAGGACAACATACCTTTTGACTGTTTTTCGCTAAGTTCAGGACCACCATGTAGAGTTGTCGGTTTTGCTTGACACTACTGATAACACAAAAAAATCGGGACCACAACACTTGCTCATGTTAAGCTGCGGTTTGTGAAGGATGAATTGGGTCTCAATCAAGTATTTAGCAAATCGGGTCCTTGCAATTTGGACATGCGAATCTGGGATTGTGATGGACAAAGGCGTCGGGTGAAAGGGGAACTTGATTAAGGAACGTGATTGTCGCAATAAAGACTCGGCTTGATGATTTTGTTGTTAACGAATGTGATTGAAGCAAGATGAGATGGAATATGGAGAAATTCTAAAAGAACGAATGTGATTGAAGCAAGATGAGATGGAATATGGAGAAATTCTAAAAGCCGTTAGGATTCTTCATGATTTTTTGGTTTGTGATCTGGCTACATCCAAATTGGGGCTTTGGTAAAGTGGAGTCTTTTTTTTTTTTAAAGGAAACGTTGATGTTTTATTTTCCAGCGACCACATTAGCGTCGGCCATGCCACATAGGATGACCAGCGATGACTAGGTATCCCACGTCAGACTTTTCTAGGCAGTAGGACTGAATTGGACAATATGCAAAAGCTTTAGAACTGAATTAACCAAATTGAAAGATTTATGACTAAATTGGTATAATGCAATATATTTAGGACTTTTATGGTAATTTTCCCCACCAGAGTCCTCGACCCGATCTCTAGGGGCTCGAGCCTAAACCCAAGCACCGGGATCCCACGCTTGGACTTTGTGGACTTGGGCACTAGCACCAGGGTCTTGCCCATTAGCATCGAGGCCTCAGGCTTGGCTTTTGTTGACCCGTGTCGAGGCTTCGAGAAGTCATGCATGGGCACTAGATTCTGGATTTTGACTTCTGTGGACACAAGATTGGTGACCTTGGTGCTCGTGCCTTGGCATCCGTATGGGATCCATCAAGTTGGACTCAAGATCCCAGTGCCCGTGCTTAGTTCTTCAACTACCCGTGGACAAGTCATTATCGCTTGGATAGTATATGTGTATATAGGAAAATTAAATCATATTTTCCTTTCCAACCGATGGAAAATATTGTCCGGTTCTTTTTTAGATTTCGGTCAAACACTAGAAAATATTGCCATTTTCCTGGAAAATACTTTAAAAAACAAGTAAACTTTTCTATTAAACAAACGGAGCTATTTCTTTCACAAATGATTTGGAAAATTTGTTTATCTAAAAATGATCATTGTTATCATTTACAAAAACAAATGAACGAAAAATACTTTCATCATCCACGAAAATAATTAGTAATAAATTGTTATCGATAATGAAAATATTTTCCGTGGAAAAATTGTTTATCTAAAAATGATTGCTAGAATCATTTACAAAAACAAATGAACGAAAAATACTTTTATTATCCACGAAAATATTTAGTAATAAATTGTTATCGACAGTGGAAAATATATCCATTGATTAATTATTTCAAGCGATATAACCAATCACTTTTAGGAAAATATTTTTCAAATCATTTATTTTCCGCCAAACAACTTGTTGTTTAAACGATTTTGAAGGAAAACCGTTTATGAGAAATTGTTTTATGAATTTATGGTGTTTGAATGATAGAAAACTAACCAATATACGGAAAATATTTTATATGGACTAAAAAACAACAAACTTAAATTAAGGGAAAACACATTGTTCTTCTAGCAAGAAGGAAATCACTTTCCCTAAACCACCAAACAATTAAAAGTAACAATTTTCCTTTACCATAAAGTTTTCAATCAAACAAAGGCACCCTTAATACCGGATTGTTTTCAACCCATGTTATTTGCAATTGGTAATTTCAACTAGTTTATCCCACTTTATTTGAAATATTGAAAATAAATAAACTATTTCCTATATGTTCAAAAGAACTTGTTTGTTTGAAGAAAAATTGTTTTCGGTGACATTCAGGTGTTTCGATGATGGAAACGGCTTTCCTTTCCAATTAGATTAGGGGAAAATGATTAGTTTTCATTTGTTTAGTGATTTAGGGAAAGTAATTACCTTATTACCGGAAGGGAAGTCGTTTTCCCTCAATATAAACTTGCCGTGCATCGATTCGTTTTTCGTCACCCAACCATCGGAAAAGTCAGAAAACAATTCTCCAGAAAAACAGTTTCCCTTCAAACAAACGGATGCTTAATCCCACTCGCGAATTGCCCAAACGCAGCAAGTTTTCCATCTTCATGGCAAGCAAAATCAAGATTATATTCATAATCAAATCACACATGGATTTCGGAGCGGGGACATTACAGCAAAGGTAATACAAAAGTAAAGCAAAGCCGAGGCCAAAAGGCCCGTTAAGAGGCCCAAGCCCAAGCCCAAGTTGGAAAACGCACACTGATTTTTTTGAGCAGGCCGAAACGATGCCGTTTCGGCACCTAACCTCGCACATTCTCCGTCTCAGAGCAAAGTACGATGCCTTCCCCTTCTTCGACTCCAGTTTTATCACTGAGGTTTTACACAAGCTCTCTCTCTCTCTCTCTCTCTCTCTCTCTCTCAAATCGATCGGACATGGAGTCCCTGGCCAGACTTCCCTCCTCCCACGCGCCGCTCCACCTCTCCCTCCCCGCCGCCAACCTCCGCTCCTCCTTCTCCTTCAGAGCCCTCCGCCTGCCGCCCCCGCCGCCGCCGCCGCGGTTCCCCTCCCTCCGAGCCTCCTCCTCCCGCGCTCCGCCCCCCTCCTCCGCCGCCGGCCGCCCCCTTCCTCCTCGTCGGAGCCCCGACCCCCCCCCGCGCCCTCCGGACCGCCTGCGTCGCCCTGTCCGCCGCCGCCGCGCTGTTCCTCGCCCGCTTCCACCTCAAGCCCCCCGCCGCCGCCGCCGCCGCCCCGATCGCCACCCCCGAGGTGGACGCCGGCGTTCCGTCCGAGGAAGAGGAGCGGGCCATGGAGGAGCACGTGAGCCAGCACGGGGACGACGTGGAGGCGCTCCGGGCCCTGATGGAGGTCAAGATCAAGTCGAGGAAGCTCCAGGAGGCGATGGGGATCCTCGACCGCCTGATCGAGCTGGAGCCCGAGGAGCGCGAGTGGCTGCTGCTCAAGGCCAACATCTATAGCTACAGCGGCGAGTTCGAGTCCGCGAGGAGGGCGTTCGAGGAGATACTGGAGAAGGATCCGCTCCGCGTGGAGGCCTACCACGGCCTCGTCATGGCGGCTTCCGAGTCGGGGGACGAGTTGGAGGTGCTGTTGGGGAGGATTAAGGTGGCGATGGAGAGGTGCAATAAGGAGAAGAGGAAGTCCGACGTGAGGGACTTCAAGCTTTTGATCGCGCAAGTTCGGGTCGTCGAAGGGAAGTACAATGAGGCTTTGAGGGTTTACCAGGAGCTGGTGAAGGAGGAGCCTAGGGATTTCAGACCCTATTTGTGTCAGGGGATACTCTACACTTTGATGAGGAAGCAAGATGAGGCAGAGAAGCACTTCAAACAGTACAGGAGGCTTGTTCCGAAGAATCACCCTTACGCGGAGTATTTCGATGATAATATGTTCGCCACCAAGTTCTTCGCGCAAAAGGTGGAAAGGGAGAGAGCGGGCATGAAGAGCTGAGGTGGATGAGCTGATTATTTGCTGCTGTGATCAGGTCTGCCTTACTCTATAGAAAGGCTCAGATCCTTTACTTAGCAAGAGTCTTGCCTTTCATAAATATGGAAGAACACATCAATGTGGACCTAACTATGAGCTGTGCTGTGGATAGGAGCTTTCTTGTTGGTAGATTTTAGGTCCTTAGTGTAGCATTCCCGGAACAGAGGAGAGGTTTTGGAAGAGAATTTGGTTGCTTTTGTCGGTCTCAACCTATCTATTATTGATGATTATGGGCATAACTGCCAATCTTTTGATTTAATGATGTTAATAACTTCTGTGGCCTTCTTTTTGATATCCAGGTATATCAATACCTGATGATAGAGCATTCGGTCGCTCTATGGTAATTCGGTACTCAAATGCATTTTCTTTCTCATCATCTCTGTTCTATCAACTAGGTGAACTGGGTGGTTATTAGGAGTTTATGGATTCGATGTAATTGATAAAACCGACATTTGGAAAATGTGTGTTATTGTCCAATACTTGTTCTCCGGATTGTTTTGGCTTCATTATATCTTGTTAGAGGTCTGGCTCTATGAGAGTAGGTGGTTTGATGAGAGTTCAATGGTGCATACCAATGTGCCAATATGGATAAATTATGATGATAAATGAATTCCTCATTACTCAAGACTGTTTTGGCAAATTTCTATCTGTTCTGTTATTTGGAGTATTATTTGTTTTCCATCATTTTTTGATAGCTGATATCTGTGGAAAACCACCCTTTTCTTTTTGAGAGCAAGGAAGGGAGGGAGGGAACGAGGAATTTTCTATATAGTAAAGCTTGTCCAGGTCCAAACTTTACCCTTTGTTTCATATTCTTGGTTTATGGTTAGAAGTCTTCTGAACTATATTATCACGAGCTCATTTTGTAGATCCTGGGAAATGTTGAGTTGAAGGGAAACCAATGGGATCTATCATATGTTGCTTGTTCATTTCAAGCACACTTTAAATTTTCTGTGTTCTCTTCCTCATCCTACCTTCGAAAAGATCATCCAATCTCAAGTCACTGTGCTGTTATGACCAAGGAAGAACAGAAGTTAAGTAGGAGAGATTTTGAGAGAAAGGAGGTGAAAATGGGGAAGAGGAGGAGTTAGAGAGATAGCTCTGTGAAAGAATGAGAGCAAGCAAAGAGCACATTCTGAAAATATGCAAAGGGTTTTTCTAGGGTGGGCGCTTGTTATAATGGAAGTTTCAATTTTTGAAGCTCTCACCTTTTTTGTGATCTGTGTGATTATTGTATTGTAAATTGAAACTTCTCTCTGTATGCTGAGAAAGTGCTCACTTGTTAACATGATACGTAAATTTTCTGTGATGGGTGCCTGGCACAATTTGTTTGCTCACTTTAGCTGAACAACTATCACGTGCCAAACTCACACAAAAATGGCTCTAATATATACTAATAACTAATGACTAACCACTGACTCAGCCTTACCAGTTCACAGCTTGCATTAGAACAGCATATACTTATTTAATGTGCCAGTGTAGACACCTATTATTCTTCTATTAGAATGCCTTACTAAGAAAACAGCATTTTTCAGGTCTCTCCTTTACCTATTTTTGTTTTCTTCGAGCTATTCTGTTGGGTTGTTGATAGTTATGATAAGGTATATATTGCAGTATTTCCTCTCTTTAGATCTCTACTCGTGCTGTTCTTACTGTCTTACCACTGCTCATCTGCTTCAGTGATTTATCATACTTATTTGTGCTAACCATTAGGAAAAAGGATTAAGGATGGGATCATGACAGTTGTTGTGTTCCAGCCATCCATAGTTACTTGCCTGGTGTTATTGCTTGCCAAGCAGATAGACTTTGAACTGATCCTTGCAACTTATTATAATTCTGAAAGAGTAATTCAATGCAGTTTTGGTGCATGGGTAGATGAGAGCCTTGTGACTTGTCTGGCTGTGTTAAATGCAATGATTACTTCTTAACATGGGTATTCTACTGGTATTTCGAAGGAAAAAAAATTTGTGCGATGAGTTTAAGCTTGGAATGCAGTTATATTCGCGTGACCTGATACGAATGGAGATGCTGTATTGGCTGCTAGCAATCTTTTCCGGCTCTGTTCACTAGAGTTTCTCAATTCTATCTGCCCTGCTCTTTCGCTTTGATGAGGTATACTTATAAACTAGTCATCGTTCAACAAAGAAATGGCAGACAGTAGTTGGAGCCTCGGTGAATTGATATACCTGTTGAGCGACATCTCACACCAAATCAGCATGTAAAGGGATGAATTACATGTGTACATGTTACAGATGATGTAGATATATTGTGATCATGCTTCCGTGGTGAAAGTTTTCCGGTGTTCATCTTGTTTAATTGCTTTTGGGCAAGTTGGGTTGACTACTTTGCCAGTTGTGCTTTAGCATGATGGTTGTGGCACAGTTGGAGGACAATTCAGCCTCATAATTTAGTTAAGGGTCTTGCTCTTTTATTTGGGTATATCCTCTTTATCTGTCGTTTACAGTTCAATGCTCATGCTTGTAACTCTAGCGAGGAAGGTAAAAAAAACTTGCTCCCAAAGGCAATGAGTGGTGAAGATGAGAGCTATGATCCAATTGAAATGATTTACAGCAGAACAATACGAGCGGAAGTCCCAAGCGCAACAGATTCTGATGGAGATACGAGGAAGTTTATACATTTGATTGACATAGGTTTCGCTCTGAATTATCAGGATGCATCATTTTGCAATGATATCCATGATTAAGGACATTTGGTCGGATATCGTACCCAAAACCAACGTTCTTGAAGCATTTTATAACAGGGTTGTCGTAAATACCTGAAATTATCATACCTTATTTCAACTCTATTGGTTTGAGAAGTTTGCCATGGTTCTTGAACCACAATTTTTAAAAGCAATGTTCACGTTCGGGAGGCAGTTCGAGATGCATAAGAAACATGACCTGAGACAGGCCTACGGCACACCCTGTATTTTGATTTGTACTTGACAATATGTCTCAAACGTTAATATCGAAGAGTTAAAATGCGCACGCAATGAGGGTGGCCAATTATACCATCGATACTATTGAATTGCTTTGGGACAACATCTAAAGCCTTTAAAAAGTTGCAACGACTTTTAAAAATAGAATGGAAAGAGCTTGAATTTAGAGCCATTTGAGCAAACAGGGTCATGAGTGGCAAAATCTAAGCTCGTTAGTCGGTCAAATCTTCGCTGGCCGGCAAGCAAAATTATGACTGTCGCGACACTTTTCAAGCCACGGCTAGGGGCATTTTCATCTGGGAAAGCTTTTTTGTTTTGTTTTCTTTTTCTTTCTTCTTTTATCTCCTTTCCTTTTTTTTTTTCTTTTTCTTTCTTTTTATTTCTTTTTATTTCTTCATCTTCATAATGCCTCGGTCTTTCTTGAAGCTGAAGACGTAGAACTTGATATTCTCATTTGACGGATGATGGTTACAAGGACGATGATGACAACGATAATTAAACCTGTCAAAATGGGTCTTAAACCCATATATGACCTATTTAAAAATAAATTGGTCACTTCAATTTTGAAAAACCTATCTTAAATGGGTTTTAAATTATAAGCCTAAAATAAATGGGTCTAAATGGGTTGAGTTTAGAACCCATTTCCAACTTACTAGGCCCACACAGACTCTCTCCCTCTTCAACCTTATAAAAACATTTTTTTTAAATCGTAATTATTTTTTATTTTTATTTTTATTGTCATTTTCGGTCAATGGCCGGCAACCGTCCGTAAATGAGGAACGAGCTCGACATAGGTTGGTGAAGCTCGAGCTTGCCGATCTGGAGATCGAGGCCTCGTCGGCCTTAGGCAACGCTCGAACCTTGCCATATCGGTAAGCTTGAGCTCGCTGGCCTTGGGTGACCTCAACCTTGCCGGATCTTGCAAGGTGGAGCCTCGCCTGACTCAACACGCTTGAGCTTTGCCCACTTCGCCAACCTCTGGTGAGCTCGTTCCTTGCCTGTGGCCATTCGTCAGCCACCGGCCGAAAATGAAGGAAAAATAAAAATAAGAAAAAAAGAAAAGAAAAGAATAAAAAATAAAATAAAAATAATTAAAATTTTGATGTTTTGGAAAATAAAAAATAAAAATAAAAATAATTAAAAGGAGTGCACGGAGGAAATCTATACCAAACGGCTGAAAATATTTTCTAGTTCATTTTTAGATTTCAGCCAAACACTAGAAAATGTTGTCATTTTCTTAAAAAATAATTTCATGGAAAACATTTTCTAGAAATGTCACATTTTCTGCGAAACAATCATAGCCTTAGTTTAAAAAATATTATAAAAATTATCCTTTAGATATTAACGCTTCCGAATATCATTAGTGAGGATCGGATTAGAGTACACAGCGAAAGTGGAGACAAGGTATAGGAGGTTTTGATGTATATTAGCTAAGGTTAAATTATTTGTACACTTGGTGATAAATTAGTTTATTCATTAGAGGATTAAAGTGAAGCTAAGTTATATACTCATTTGAGGTTCAAATTTTATGAAAATTCGGATCGTGATATCAGCAACTGGTACCATTAGAGCACTGATTGAATCCAAGAGTTCCATTTTTTCTATTTGAACCCCAAGGGTATCGATGTCGGCCATCAAGGCTAGACTGTCACAACCTCCCGCAACAAGATAGTTTTGCTTATGGGAGCACTTGAAAATGCTGTCACTGGCCATTAAGCCCACTGGGGCTTCTGTGTTTTTTCATACAATTACTTTGTAAAAACAAAGTCGAACACATTTGCTTTAGGAATCTTAATAGACAATATTCCGAAAGTTTTGATTAATTCTTGGAGTAACCAATTTCACCTTCATCGTCACCAAATGAGCTTCCACTCATTTGTGCAAGTGCCTTCATGCTTTGACGAAAGAAAAGGAAAGGAGGTTCACTCAACAAAATAATGTGAAACTATTATACATCATTTATGGGAGAGAAACAAAGGTACAATCAAATCGTTAAATGCACGTAGACTAGGAAAGTTCAATTAAGTTTAAAGTATAGTTGAATGCACAGTGGTAGAGACAATTAGGGATTTCTCTAGGATAATTTTCATTTTTATAGAAATTTTGATAATTTTGTTGATTATCCGCATCTCTCGAAATTGCACGTATATTGTACAATAGCACATAAATTGCACGTTTATTGCACGTGGGCTTTTTTTAGGTTTCAAGATACAAAATAAAAGTGAACGTTCGAATTTTTTCCTTAGCATTGCTAGGGAAGAAAATGATTCCCTCTACAGCCTTCCTTGCAATATATATATCCTAGCCCGCGCGTCAAGTCATGATGAAAGCAAAAAGAGTGAGTCT